AATTTGTGATATGTTGTAAGATTTGAGCACTTGATGTGCAATCTGTGATTTGTTGTAAGATTTGAGCACTTGATGTGCAATTTGTGAAATATTGTAATATTTGGGCAATTGAGATGCAAGTTGTATTATGCTGTGATATTTGGGCACTTGAGGTGCGATTTGTGAAATATTGTGATATTGATACGCATGCGGTGAGATAAGGGTGGTTTGAAACGCGTGGCTAGTATGGGAACTACTAGAAGTCATGCGGTGATATAAGGTCAGGGTGTTGAAATGCATGCGGTGAGATACAGGTGGTTTGAAACGTGTGGCTAGTAAGGAAACTACTAGAAGTCATGCGGTGTGATAAGGATGGCTAAAACGCGGGATGCTATTTCGAAAAAAAATAATTTCTTTAAAATTAAATATGAAGGCTCCCGCGTTAATATAAGAAATGAGATATTGTGAATTTATTTATGATTTGGAACTACGAGGCGGTACCTCGGTAGTGCCCTGTTGATATTTCTTTATTTATGTTCTTGCCTTGGGTGATTTTGTTTCATTTAATATGTAAATTCGTGTGTTCTTCCGTGATGTACTAGTTGACTTTATTATTATGTGTTTTGTGCTCCTAGTTGTATTGTGTTGGCTTTGGCTTTTTAGCATGAGACTCTGAAGAAGTATATTTCTGTTTTTTCTTACTGATTTCCGATGATTAAGTTGATTTAAATAAAAGAAATTATTATTATGTTTTAAATTAAATAGTTTTACAACCAAACCAGTAGTTTATCAGATGCTTTAATTTAAGTGCAATGTTATTTTCTTCACCCAAATAATTTCTAAAAATAAATTCAATTCTTTGTTGATTTCTTACTTGATTTAAAAATTCTAAACTCACTTTAATGGAAATAAATTGATCATGTCGATCTTATATACATTGAGGATATTGACATGTGAATTGTTCGTGCAATTATGATATGAAATGAGGGCACGAGGTGCCGGAAAAATATGATGATTTAATAATGGGCACGAGGTGCCGTGGAGATATGAAAATGGGCTGAGACCCGTATTTTTATGATTATGAAACAAGGTGTCACATGGTGACTTTTTAATTAAAGAATTATATTCAAAATATTTATTTGGAAGGATTTTTATTTAGAAAGTATTACACGAAAGAATTATATTTGAAAGATATTTATTTGAGAAAAATTATATTTGAAAGAGAGTAATTTGGTAGAATTATATGTGAATGATATTTATTTGAAGAATTTGATTTAATTGGGTGTACTTGTATTTATTATTTGTTGAACGATATTAAATGGTGTTTGTTGTCTTGTTGTGCATATCACTGGTTGTTTTATGATATCCTTATTGTTATCTGTTTCCTGCTATCTTGTATATTATATTGCACAGGCCATTAGACTAGTGACTGTCTTGACTGCACCTCGTCTCTACTCCACTGATGTTAGTCTTGATACTTACTGGGTACCGACCGTGGTGTACTCATACTATACTTCTGCACATTTTTGTGCAGAGTCAGGTATTGGAGATATCGGACTTGAACAGAATTAAAGCGGGACCGTAAGGATTCAAGGTAGAGCTGTTTGGTCGTCACAGTCCCTTGGAGTCTTTTCATTTCATTGTATTGTTAATTTTTAATCAAACGGTATTATATATTCGGTCCTCGTGATCATTTCATGTATTCAGTTAGAGTTCGTGACTCAGTACTAACAGTTTTGGGAGGTTGTATATTCATATTTATTCCGCTGTTAGTTTTGGTTACTTATTTAATTCAAAAAAAAATGGCTTCAAAATATAATAGAAATCGGTTTACCTAGTCTTAGAGACTAGGTGCCATTACGACGCATGTGGTGGGATTTTGGGTCGTGACAATTAGGTGGCTGTGCAGTTTATGTGAGGTAAGTCACTTGGATGATTCTCATTAAGATGTCGAGGACAAGAAAATTAAAAGGCCTAATGCACTTCATTTAACTTTTGATATATCGACTATATTAAATTTCAGTGACAAGCCAGGGAAACATGACTTCAACATCCTCAAGAAACTAGTTTTACCTGATGGATCCATCTTAAGAGCAAGATATGCTGGTTGACCAACTCGAGATAGCTTATTTGTTGATCCAGTCATTGATGGGAAAAGGTAATTCTCATATTGTTAGTTACATCCATTGGTTTAGTTAAACAAAAGGCAAAACCTTGATCAAGTTTTTCTAATACAAAAACTAATCTTTTTCTACAATTAACAGCCTGCTGAAGATTTGGAATTTGAATAAGCGTACTGGGGTAATAGGCGTTTTCAACTGCCAAGGAGCTGGAAGTTGGCGACTGAAAGAAGCAACTCCAAATGCACACAACTCAACAGCAACAGAAAAAACACAATTTTTGGCCATCTTAGCCCTCTTGATGTTGAATTCCTTAAAGAAATTGCAGGACAAAACTTGAGTGTAGACTATGCAGTATATGCTTTTAATTCAAGCAAGTGCCTCATTTGCTTAATCATACCAGTAAACTGGTAGGCAAAACACAAATGCTGATGCTCAGGCTATTTTGATTTTCAGGATCTCTTTGCAAAGTACCAAACAGAAAAAGAATAAAGGTGTCTTTGGGTGTACTAAAATGTGAAATATTTACTATCTCACCGATCAAGGTAGTAACTGATAAAGCCACTTTCTTTGTTTCTTATTGCTCAATGTTTCTAAAGCAGCTCTGACATGAAATATTTGAATGTTATATACCAACAGGACTTGGGTGAAAATATTGAATTTGCTCCAATTGGTCTGATTGACATGTATAACTCAGGAGGAGCAATTGAAGATGTAATGTACAGTTCCGATGATCTTCCAGATCGTGCAGTAAACGTGAAAACAAGAGGATGTGGTCAGTTTGGAGCATATTCAAGCACAAAACCAAGTTCATGTAAAGTGGACATGAACGATAATGATTTCACCTACAATAAAGAAAAGGGACTATTGGTGATAAATCTGAAGGGTGATTGCCACACGAGAGATATTAAAGTGGTCTATTAAGATGAATGACCTTTGTACGTGAAGAAACTGAAGAGCTTTTCCACATAGTAGTGGAGAGAAGTTTTAGGAGGTTAACAAAGGGAATGTGTGCAAAATAATTGACTGCAACTTCTCTAGTTTAGTCCTGGAAATGATCTTGTTATCATGTTAAGAGTAATGCTGCACTTTTTCATCCTTGTGATCGATTGGCTGCTGGGATTGGTTTCTCTGCCAATTTAGCTTGTTATTTATTTGCAATTTAGCCAATTCAGTTGACTGTATGTAAGCAGATCATGTTAGCAGCATTCGTTGAGTTTTATTATAAGCTCTTCTGTAATTGTTTCACTGATATCAATACGATTCAATAACTTTTGGTTCTTCATTTTCATTCTTCTTACTATGTTCTTTTCGAGGTTCTTGATTCATCTTGTGACTGATCTTAATGTTGTATATTTTCCTCGAAAAACTTTCAATGCTGCAGCGCAAATGCTGGATCATTTTGTAAATGATTCAACGTGTTGCATTAAGTGGAACCTTGAGTTTCTCTTAGAAGAGGATAAAAGTAAGATATGTGTGACGATCCCAATTTTCCTCCGTAGGATGTCGTGACGGCATCTAGTATCTAAAACTAGGTAAGCCTAACAAACATGCGGAATAACTGAAATGATAATTTAAATCTCAAAAACATCAACAACTATATCAAATAAAATCTGTAACTCAACATGTACATCTCCCAAAACCCGGTGAGAATATAAGTCACAAGCTCTAGATACAGTATTGAACACTCCTATACGTCATTGTCTATAAAGATGTAAAGAAATAAGAAAAGAATAGGGTAGAAGAGGACTCCGAGGCCTGCGGACGCGGGCAGGTATACCTTGAAATCTCCAAAGACAAGTAGCTCAACATGCTAATACCGAGGCTGATAGGATGTATCTAGATCTGCACAAAACATGTGCAGAAACGTAATATGAGTACACCACAACGGTACCCAATGAGTGCCAAGCCTAACCTCGATAGAGTAGTGACGAGGTCAGGTCGAGGCCCTATTGGAGATAATAAGAAGCAAGACCGAAAATATAATGATATATTGAAATAACAGGGAGGGAAACAACAAAGAAATTACAGAAAGTAACAACACGGAAATCAAGGAAGCTAATAAAATCACGAATGGAAAACAAGGATTTTACATGTTAAGGAAACAACAATCAAATAATACAGCAAATAGTGAAGATCAACAAGGGCACTCTCGAGGTACCGCCTCGTAGTCCCAAATCATAAAAAGAAATCACAGCCTTTCCTTATATCAACGCGGGAGCCTTTACATTTAGTTTTGAAAATTATTTTTTCCGAAATAGCACCCCGCGTTTTAGCCCACCTTATCACACCGCATGGCTTCTAGTAATTCCCCTACTAGCCACGCGTATCAAGCCCACTTTATCTCACCGCATGCGTTTTAACACCTAGTTATACCACCGCATGCGTATCAATACAGAATGATACGGCAGAAACCTCGTGCAAATAGTAACAACCGCACGACAAAAACCTCATGCAAACAATATACAACGACATGGTAGAAACCTCGTGCACATAACCAAACAATCACCTCAACAATAACACGGAAGCCAAAACATAACAACTAAATAAAATTATATTTCACAACTTACACCTTGCCTCAATAGAAACCACGACCTTTGCAACTCAACACCAAACTCAACAGCAAGGTATTTCAAGGATAGCAAATTTCAAGTAAAAAATTTTCATAGTTAAATAATGAATACAGAATTAAGAAAGTAAGTAATTCAACTAAACATGTAGTACAAGTCGCAAATAAGAGATAAGACAAGTAGCCATACGAAATTAGGCTAAATATGGTGATTATAACATGCTAAAGTAACTCAATTAAGGTATAAAAAGGAAACTACGTAGCTAAAATCGAAATTTCAACATTTAGCCCGTGTATACTCGTCACCTTGCGTACACGGCTTTTACATATCACAAATTATCTCAACAGTACCCAGTCCTAAGGGAAATTTCCCCCACATAAGGTTAGACAAGTCACTTACCTCCAACCATGCTAAATCAATCAATTAGAAGGCATTTTTCTCGATTTTCTAACTCTGAACGGCTCGAATCTAGCCAAAACAATTTCATACTATAAATATAACTATAGGAAACTAATTTAAATAATAAAATAATAATCTTAGCTAAGAATCAAAAATCCCAAAAAGTCAACTCGGGCCCGCGTCTCGGAACCCGACCAAAATTATAAAATCCGAACACTCATTCGATATCGAGTCCAACCATACAAGAATTACACAAATCCAATACCAAAATCTCGCTCAAATCCTCAAAATTCGGCCTAAGAAGTTTCCTCCATTTTTTCCAATTCTTTTTCAACCCAAATCCCTAATTAAATGATAAAATCAAAGATAGATTAGTGAAATTTAATCAAAAATGAGTTAAGAACTTTTACCCCAATAATCCCTCTGAAAATCCATCGAACATTCGCCTTAAACCGAGCTTTCAAAGTCCAAATTGAGTAATATGAAATAAACCCTCGATTTTGAAACTTAAGTTTGCTGCCGCGTTATTTACACTATGCGATCGCGGAAATTCCTTCACGATCGCGAAGAACAAAATTACCAACAACTCAAAACCTTATACGCGAATGCGGAACACTAGTCGCGATCGCGGTGAGAACTTTTCCAAAGACACACGATCGCGAGCACACCTTCGCGACCGCATAGAGTAAGGCATCCATCTGCCCAGGTCCTTCCTTCCTTCGCTGTGAACACGGTAACTACCAGAGAAGGCAATAAATAAGGGATCGGGGCTAATATACTCAAAATGACCGATCGGGTCATTACATCCTCCCCCTCTTAAAATAAACGTTGGTCCTCAAATGAGTATAGAGACATACCTGAAGTGGTGAAAAGATAAGGATAACTGTTACGCATATCATGCTTAGTCTCCCAAGTCGCCTCCTCGACTGGCTGACCCTTCCATTGAACCTTCACTGAAGCAATGTTCTTCAACCTCAACTTTCCAATCTGCTTGTCCAAAATAGCCACCGGCTCCTCAACATAAGACAGATCCTTGTCCAACTGGACTGAGCTGAAATCCAACACATGAGACGGATCGTCGTGATACTTCCGGAGCATAGAAATATGGAACACTTGATGAACTACAGCTAGACTAGGTGGTAGTGCAAGCCTGTAGGCCACCTCTCCAATCCTCTCAAGAATCTCAAAAGACCCGATATACCTAGGGATCAATTTGCCTTCTTTCTAAACCTCATAACACCCTTCATGGGCGAAATCCGGAGCAAGACCCGCTCCCCAACCATGAATTCCACGTCGCGAACCTTCTGATCCGCACAATTCTTCTGTCTAGATTGGGCTGTACGAACTCGATCCTGAATTAATTTAACCTTTTCCAAAGCATCCTGAACCAAGTCCGTGCCCAATAGCCTAGCCTCGCCCGACTAAAACCAACTCACCGGAGACTGACACTGTCTATCATACAAAGCCTCGTACGTGGCCATCTAAATGCTTGACTGGTAGCTGTTGTTGTAGGAAAACTCTGGAAGTGGCAAGAACTAATCCCAAGGATCCCCAAACTCCATCACACATGCACGAATCATATTCTCCAATATTTGCATAGTGCGCTCGGACTGCCCGTCCGTCCGAAAGTGAAATGTTGTGCTCAACTCCACCCGGGATACGCAGTTTACATCGCAGTGCTGGAGGGCCATTCAGCATGAGTTATGTATGTCCATCTGAGGGTGAAATGATGTGCTCAACCCCAACCATTAAGCCTGACAATCTCGCGAATATAAACCTGATCCAGCTGCTCTGAAGAGTAAGTAGTCACCACTAGAATAAAATGGGCTGACTTGGTCAATCTATCCTCAATCACCCAAATTGCATCGAACTTCCTTTGAGTCCGTGGGAGCCCAACAACAAAATCCATAGTGATCCGCTCCCATTTTCACTCTGGGATCTCTAACCTCTGAAGCAATCCACCTGGTTGCTGATGCTCACACTTCACCTGCTGACAGTTTAGGCACCGAGCTACATATTTCACTATGTCCTTCTTCATTCTCCTCCATCAGTAATGTTGACTCAGGTCCTGATACATCTTCGCGGTACCTGGATGAATGGAGTACCGTGAATTGTGAGCCTTCTAGAGAATCAACTCACACAAACCATCTACATTGGGCACACATAGCCTGTCCTGCATCCGCAATGCACCGTAATCTGTAATAGTGACCTCCTTGGCATCACTGTGTTGAACCGTGTCCTTAAGGACAAGCAGATGGAGGTCGTCATACTGCCGCTCTCTGATACGATCATGAAGAGAAGACCGAGAAACTACACAAGCCAAAACTCGACCCCACTCAGAAACATCCACTCTAACAAACTAGTTGGCCAAGGCCTGAACATCCAAAGCTAATGGCCTCTCTGCTACCAGTAGATATGCTAAGCTGCCCAAACTCTCCGCCTAGCAACCCAAGGCATCACCACTGCATTGGCCTTCCCGGGATGATATAGAATGGTGATATCATAGTCATTAAGAAACTCTAACCACCTCTGCTCCCACAAGTAAAGATCCTTCTATTTGAACAGATGTTGTAGACTCCGATGATCGGTGTAGACCTCACAATGGACACCGTACAAATAGTGCCGCCATATCTTCAAGGCATGAACAATAGCTGCTAACTCGAGGTCATGGACAGGATAGTTCTTCTCATGCACCTTTAGCTGTCTAGACGCGTAGGCAATCACCCTACTGTCCTGCATCAACACCGCACCGAGACCAATGCGCGATGCATCACAATACACAGTATAATCCCTCGAACCCGAAGGCAACACCAACACTGGGGCTGTAGTCAAAGCTGTCTTGAGCTTTTGAAATCTCTCCTCACACTCCTCGGTCCACCTGAACGGAGCACCCTTCTGGGTTAGTCTGGTCATAGGTACCGCAATAGACGAGAAATCCTCTAAAAATCAACGGTAATACCCCGTCAAACCAAAAACACTCCGAATCTCCGTAGCTGAAGACGGTCTGGGCCAACTCTGCATTGCTCCAATCTTCTTCGGATCCACCTTGATCCCCTCACTCGACACTACATGACCCAAAAATGCCACCAAATCAAGCCAGAATTCACACTTTAAAAATTTTGCATACAACTTCTTTTCTCTCAAGGTCTGAAGCACAGTCCTCAGGTGCTGCTCATGATCCTATCGGCTCTGGGAGTACACCAGAATGTCTTCAATAAATACAATGACGAATGAGTCAAGATAGGGATGAAGTACAATGTTCATCAAGTGCATGAATGTTGCTGGGGCGTTGGTCAGCCCAAAAGACATCACAAGG